CTAACTCAACGCAAGGAGTGCAAACACTTCAAGTGCTTCAGAAGTGTGAGCAAAGAGCAGGCGAAGGCCAGTAACCAGCTCGATGCATGGAGTACAACCTCGAGGAGACGGGCGAAGTCAAGTAACCTTTGCCTTCTCAACCCTTAAGAGAATGGGCGAAATCGAGTATCTCAATTATCTTATCTATCTAGCAGAGGAGCACTGCGCAGGTTTAAAGACCCTTCGAAGATAATGGAAGACAATAGTTGTCAAATCCTCACCAACGGTGATCAGTGCTACTGAGAGTAGATTGTCCGCTTCATTTCCCAACGAAATGCCAATCGAAAGCAGAAGTGATGCGAACCTACTTGGAAGTGACAACTAAGTAAAAGAAGAGTTAATGGGCAAATTTTGTGGAGGAAGGACCCAAAACTTCAGAAGTTTGCGAGACGATGCTCGTCAAAGCTCCAACAAGCATCCACCCAGTTCAAGTAGCATAAGACATTTGAGAGACTGGCGCAGTAAGGATGGTCTTTTCTTTCATCTGGAGGATCCGCAGGAACCAACAGGGATCAACACAACTCAGTCAACCCCACACTAGAGTCAGAGTCATTGGCGAGTTGAAGCAGCATGGCGGATCAAAGGTTCGACTACTCAAAAACAACAACGGAGAGTAGTTGGGAGCCAGGAGGCGTATTGCAGCTGGAGCAGAAGATTGAAGACTCAGCAAAGGCACGGAGTTGCAGTGTCGGGAAAGGCTTCGACGAGGACGTCAAAGGAATAAGTGGGGGAGAATGTCATGGACAAACTTCTAAACAGGATGTTTGATGTAATGCTTATGTATGTCCGTGTCTTTTGGTATGTTCATGCTTTGCACAACATGTAGAGGGACGACCGAAGGCTTAATAGTCTCATTTTAGTTGGGTTGGTGGCCGCTTTAGGCTTGTAAATAAAGGTTGTGTCATGTGGACACTTGTGAGAGATTTTCGGTCTGTAATGGATCATTTTGACCCTTTGTTGTGCAACTGTTCAGAGCTTGTAAAGTTTGTTTGTAATTTGCATTGTCTATGAAGTGTTTCCGGAAATGTTTACTTGTGGATCCCGAATGAGACGTTTTCTCTAACTTGTTCTCTCTTTTGTGGGTCCTAAGGGACCATGGGAGGCTTCGGGGAGGCTGACCTTTACGAACGGACGCGCAAGGGTACCGCACGACTTAGGCAAAACCAGCTAAGTCTGTGACAATGTGGTGGGTGTTGATACAGATTGGGAAAAGCCAATACCGGCTAGTCACTGTAAGCAGAGAGAGAGAGAGAGAGAGGAGGAGGAGGAGGAGGAGGAGGAGGTAGAGCAAAGGTGGCGATGTGGCAATACTAATAAGGAGAGGACGATAGGAGGGGAGTGATGGGGATGGAGAGGAGGTGGCGATCCATTGGAAAGCAGCAGTAGCCAAAAAAGAGTATAAAGAAGAGAGAAAAGGGGGTAGGATTAGTGCCTTTCCATTCTATACTGCTCAGCATCGATTATCTTACCATCCAGTACTGATTAGTTCACCGGTCATTTAGCTAACATTTGTAAGCTTGGATTTGGACCGGATTAGGCAAAATTACTTTGCATACCTATCAATCGTCAGACCAATAAAAACCAGTCTGTTCTGGCTGGTACAGTCAGTTATCAAACCTTGATTTAATATAATGCATTCTTCCTTTTTTTTCCTATTTCCTTCAATGATTCTGTTAACATGCTTTACAAGAATATGTTGGACATCATGCTATTTCTATTTATTCCAGGTTTTTCTTGCTTGGTGTCTACCATGATTTGAATTTTTCTATCTATACTGTGACGGGAAGTTTCTAATTACTAAGTGAGGTGGGCAGCCTTTGTGGAGACCAGTCATTCGAAAAGAATTAGTCAGTGGTTAGTGTACACTTCTTGGAATAAAAATAGAAGAGATGAACCGAAAGGTATTGGATAAAAGTGAAGGTGTTATGCACAATCTGAAGAGGAAGAGAGAATCTGGTGCATGTTTCACTACTTTTGGCCATGGCCTAGTAGCAAATCCACAAATCCCAGATCTAAGGGGTTGCAACATAAAGCGTTGTACAAATGATTTCAGCTGCAGTATTCAGAGTCAAATTCTCAATAAATATTGCAATTTCACAAAAAGTGGTTTGCCATGTCGGGTGCTATCTTTCGAGGATGGTGAATGGAAAGATTTTGCTGAGAATATCATCAGTTTGGTCCAGGAAGATTTCCGGCTAAAGAAGGCAATTACTGAAGCATATTTTAAGAATCAGCACTTTTTGTTAGACTTTGTCCACATGGTATACATTGATCTGAAAACAGGTTTACAGAAACCGATCGCTTGGATTGATGCAGATGGGAAATGTTATTTCCCAGAAGTATGTCCTGAAAATTATGGATTAAATAGATACCATCATTATGGCAAGGGCAAACAAGTTCACATGATTTGTGATCCAAATGGGACACATGAAATTGATGCCCGTTTGGAGATTTCTGTTAGTGCAGCTGAAAGCTCAAGTTCAGGATCTGATGATGAGGTTATGTCCAATGTCAAGAGGATCAAGAGAGAAGAACATACTTTATGTGCTCAAGGCAATGAGACTGTTGGAGAAAATGAGCCATGTCCATTTCTCCCTTCAGATATTTCTGCTTTAGAAAGTTGGCAAGAAAAGAAGGTTAGACCTACTGGTGATCCGCGAGTCAGTGCTGTGCTGGACTTGTTACTTAAGAGTTTGGGCCAAGTAATTGATGCAAAGGACATTCTTAGGATCCTTAAAACTCCAGCAAAAAATGACTTAGGTATGGTTCGATTTAGCCTTTTTCAAGAGCAAGCTATGGTCACCCAAAAAGTCCGTGGCAATGCAAATGTTCGTTATGCCTGGCTTAGTACCTCCAAGGATGTTGTGGAAGAGGTGATGTCGAAGGGAGTTTTGAAGAAACCTATACAGAAGCCTGCTTTTGGCAATGGCATTCATCTGGCACCAGCAAATTGTTCAAACATACGGTGAGGTTTTTTATCAACTTTATGGTGATTGTCTTCTGGCAGTTACCTCAAAACCCTTTATTTTTTGGTTTGGAAGGACAAAAAGCCTATTATTTTGCATTTTGTGGTTCCTGTTGGTCATGCACTCTTCTTTATTTTGCTGATCATCGATGGTGAATAAATATCACTAATGCACATGTACCGTCTTCAGTGCAAGCTGTTCTGATATTGACGAAAATGGTGTTGTCCATATGATGTTGTGCCGTGTAATTATGGGGAACATGGAGCTGATTCCGATGGGATCCATGCAGCATCAGCCCAGCCATGAAAATTTTGACAGTGGCATAGATGATATTCAAAATCCAAAGCGTTATATTACATGGGACTTGAATATGCATACTCATATTTATGCAGAATATATTGTAACTTTAAACTTGCCAACCAATGCTAAAGGTAAGTTTCCTGGGGCATCATCTGTCAGTTTCTATATATATTTGTCTTATATATCAAGGCCCTGTACTTTTTTTGGTGATCGCAGAAGGTTTGGTCAGGGAAGCCAGTATATCTAATGTATCTGCTTTGACAAATTCTTATTCACCTCACAGTTTATTTCAGGTGTGTTTTGAAATTTACAATTTTTTAATCCATCTTTCTTGAGAATGCTTAATTAGAGTCAGGTCTCAGTAATAACTATCTGGTAGACTACAAATTAATCCTTCCATTGATGAATATATACCCATCACCGACCATCTGGTCAAAATATTCACATGGTCATGATGGAAATGACTAATCTATTTGTTTCATTAAATTATATTATTGATGCTGGAACATTTTTTTGCATGATAAATAATCTGAAGATATCAGTGAACACTTTGCGTAGTAGGATGTTCAATCAGCTGCATTAGATTCCACAACAAAGACCTTAGATTACATAATTTGGACTTCTATTTTGGTGAAACCTGAAGCAGTTGTTTTGTTCTTTTACGTGGTAATGAAGTATTTGATTGTCTTGCCCCTTCTGTGACTAGGATAAGTGTCAGCCATCTCCAGTTGTGGGAAATCAATCTACAGGTTTATTGTCAGGCCGAGCTCCAAAAACTCCAACTTCACCATGGATGCCATTCTCAATGTTGTTTGCTGCAATTTCAACTAAAGTACTTCCTGAAGACATGGATTTAGTTAATACTCATTATGAAGATTTTAAGGTTGTATTTTCCTTTAATAAACTACAATTACATCACAAGTATATTGGCGTCACAAATAACTCCGTATGCTTTTCCTTTCATCAGAAGAAGAAGATAAGCAGGATTGACCTGATTAAAAAGTTACGGCAGATAGTTGGTGATAAATTGTTGGTTTCTACAATAATGAGGCTGCAACACACGGTTCGTTTTCACAGTTTTGATTGGTATACATTCATTACCTATGAAATTACTGAAATCTCTGTGACTTATCCAGATATGATCTTTTGCCATATGAGGAAACATAGATTTAGTCATACAACTTAGGGATCTCTTATTTCGAGCTTCAGTTATTTTAATGGTTTATCTTGGTCTTGCTGGCTCCTGTGAATTTTTTGAAGTTCTTATTTTTTTATGGTAGATATCAGATTTTGCTTGCTCTACTACATTGTTAAAATGATTTTATATTTTTCTTGTGGCTAATTTACATTACATCCTTTATCTCTTAGAAAGTTATACTACCTATTCGTGGGTTACAAAGACATTATCTTGATGAACCTCAGTGAGGTTATCTTGAAAGCGTGCCTTGAGTTAAAACACTTGGAACTTAAAATTGTGTTAAGTATTGACCTCTCATTTTCTCATGGAGTTGGCTCTACGTTATAAATAACAGAACTTAATTGTTGAGCTTCTTCCTAGATTACTAGTTCGCCAATGAGGATTTAGTTGCGTCTGGGATCTATAATTTCCATGATTTAAGAGTAAATTTATGAAGCTTATGGGATCTATAATTTCCATTCTCAGAAAGTGGTTCTGAGAAGTTGTCAGAGGCAATTCAGGAGTCTGATTATATTGACCAAACCTGTACTTTGTTCAGCACGATTTGGCGTAGGTTCCCTAGTGAGATGTCCTAATCAAGGGCATCACCAGAGACTTCTCTGGTAGTGTAGACATCATTTTGTTCCCCCATGCTTATGCTAGTGTAGACATCAATTCCTGCATTTCAGAACTTGGCATATGCTTTGATCTCTATTAACTTTAGGTGCATTCTGCTTCTTGTGTGTCACATCTGATTACACAGGATAAGGATTGCTGGTTTGTTTTAGCAGTCACTTTCTTTATTTTTCTCATGTCATTTTGTTTCTTCCATATTTTACTTCTCTTTTTAGATAAAAGTGCAATTAGTACTTGCCATTGTGTTCTACAATACACGGTGTAGCCCACTGCAAGGCATTGCATGCCATTGTGCGGGACAATGCAGACACTTTACTGTTCCAACCTAGGCATATTTAGCACAACTCATCGTTTATTCTAAATGCATGGTCTAGTTAGATACATGTCTATTTGTTGGTCATTCGGCACGCCTACATCATTCCTTGAGTTACAATCCGTGTGTCAACTGTGCATTTTAACTCCTGCTATATTCTGCCTAAGATTAATCCACTTGCTAGCCACTAGCTACTTTTTGTGCTATGAGCAAGTTTCGTGACCTTTAAGCCCCCTTGCTTGCCTGGAAGATAAGATAAACAGCAGACGTTAAGAAAATCACAATGATTTAAAACTTTATATGTTTGATCAAGGGAAATTAATGTCACATATTTTGATGCTCTTAGATCCTTCCTATTGCTCGTTAACCATAAGCACCTGCTGTGTTTTGCAGTTACCACCAATGGCCAGACATCCACCTCCAAAATCCTGGTCCACGGAGCTGCAAAACAAGCCTGGAAATGGTGGAAGCCCCTCCTTGTTTCCAGGTTGGTGTTAGTTAGTATATGGGTCATATCTTAATGGTGTTAGCGGACTCAAATAGGCTGATGATACAGGGAACTACTAGTTCATGCTCTGTAGGAACACATGACAGTCTTTTATTTCGTTATAAATGTGTGTTGATCCTTGGCATCTGGGGATATGTTGTCGCTGCTGCTTCCGCTATTTATGCTGGTGGACCATTGTGCTGCCCATTGGTAGTTATGGTGTGTCCACGGCTTGCGACATTTGTTGCAAGTTGTGATGCACGAGCGGCAGGTGTGTGTAGAGATCATCGGTTGGCGATTTACCGGGATTTACTTATCTAGGGTTGCTGTCTGCATGCCACGTATACTTGAGGTGTATTCGTGGGTGCTTCTTGGAGCCCCAAATCGGGCTTCCTGTAGCGGCGCAGTAGAGATTAATAACGTATGTCTAAGATTTTCTTTTAAATTTTTTAAAAGATAAGTGATGAAGATAAAATTTAATTTTAGTATCTTATGAGTGATCTATCAAAAATCTTTCCAGTTAATAAATTACTCAAAACTTTCATAAAATATTTTCGAATTAATAAATGTGGGAAGGCGAGATCAGAGGCAATAAATAATGGAAAATATAATCCCATTTATTGAATTTGGAAAAGAAACGAAATCTTATGAGAAAGATTAGAAGACATGGTCGACAAATGAAACTGCCACTTCCCTTTGTACGAGTTATTGTAATTGTTTCACGATTCTTTCTGATGCTGCAAATTGCATTGATTAGTTCATACGTTCAGCGATGAGGTATTCGTTAGTTTTTCTTCATCCCTCTGAATCCTCATTATTCCACCTCATTTTCAAAAGGTGGCGTGCACAGCACCTTACTGTGTGTGCCTTGAGAGGAAGAGGTAATGAATTTGTCATTACCTCTTCCTCTTAAAGCACGCACAGTAAGGTGATAGCTACACGTCATGGGCACATCTATACGCACCTCCTTGCTTTCATTCACAGTCTACGACTGTGGAAAATATTGCTACAGTAAATGTTGACAAAGATTCCAACCCCTTTTTTTTTTGTTTTTTGATGCAATCACTCACTGCAGTAGCCATCTCAGTCGCATGGACCAGCAAGCACGCTCCCATGCGCGTCTGCGGCCGCCCCATAGTGTACTCATGACAGCTAAAAACCGCGTCTTGCACGACTCATCCATGGGAGACGCAGCAAGACACATGTAGCAGAACAAAAACGATGCATCAAGATCCAGCTCACTATGGTGACAGGTCTGGAGCTGATGCTGTCAAGACCAGCATCCCCATCAATTCTTGCATGTGGTGACAGGTCCCCTGATAGACAACAAATCCTGAGGTAAAAGGAAGCACAATAGAGATGGGAAACAGGGCAATAAATACTCAACATAAATAATCATAATAGTTCCAGCATGTTGCATTGAATCCATCCTTACCAACCAGACTCCAACCGAAGCAAGCAAGTATTACACAGCACGTACAAGCAAACTACTGAGAAAGAAGAAGTCAATTCCCGAACCAACACCCTCTTCATCTTCTACCTCGTGAGAGACTTCGCCGGCTGGGGCGAGGGTCACATCTGGTGCGCTCTTGACTTCCCTCCAACAACCTACATTCCCTTTCCTTGTTCGCTTTCCACTCTACACAATGCTGCTATTTCAACTAATAAACCTCCTACTGCATTGTTCTTAATTACACATGGTGCGACCTCCACTTTCCCTGGACATCACCTTGGATCCCATTGTTGAGCACCGATACGACCAAAATGGCCCCCCCCCACCATACACTCAGGTTGAACAAGCGAAAACTTGACAAAGCCCCAAGTACACTGAACTGATGTGGGATGCCCTCAAAGATCGTGGGCATAAGCGTCAATGGTTGGGCTTTGTCAAGTAGTCCCTTGTCGCGCCAGAATGATGATGATTCTGGTGTGATGAGAGTGGAGCGAAGAGCAATTTGGTTATATCGGGTAAAATAGTTAGGGTTCAGGTGACTCCAGCCACTTACTTATTAGGGCTATTGTTCCGGCGCCATAGCAGCCGGCTCGGCCACGGCGCCACCGCCGAGCACGGCGCTGATCTGTTGCACGGTGTTGCGGAGGTGGTTGTTGATGGCGGTGACGCTGGAGAGGTTGAGCTTGGCAGATGGGACTGCGCTGGCCAGAACCTGCATGCCGATTGTGAGCAGGCATCCGATGGTACTGGCCGAACCATCGCTGCTGCTGATGACGCCGTTTGGTGGGGCAGCGGGCGAGATGACGAAGCCAGTTGGGAGGAGGGGAATATAAGACGGGTCCTCGCCGCTCATCGCCACCTGGACGGCGTCGACGTCGATGGTAGCGTACACGACGATGCTGCCGCCGGAGGGGTGAGTGCTGCTTTCTTGAAGCAGGAGCTCCACACTGTGGGAGGAGTTGCTTGCCGCCTGAGTGGATATATCATTGTTGGCATGCGGAAACAGATTCATCAGCAACCAACGACAAAATGAGGCAAACAAATAATATTAGACGTATAAGCAGTTCGTAGTGTAACAAAAGTGCAAACAAATAATCTTTTTTCTTTTCTTGTGGTTAAGCAGAAGGAATGATCTAAAAACTCCTGCAAAAGATGGAAAGTTTGAGGCAACAAGTCGCAGGCAATAGAAGGGCGTACTGACATTAACACGCAGAAGCGAGACGCAGTTCCTTGGGTGCGAACCATTGGCGATATGAGCCACCTCATGTAAGGAGTTACCGCTTGAGAGAACATCCAACTGCAGCAGAAACAGGCATTTCATTTCAGCTTTGACAAAAACACAAAAAAGGGTTCTCTGAAAGCAAGAACAAGCTGCTAATCTTATGTTCAGGTACCTGAGACCTCCTTTGCTCGTCCGTCAAAAGCTCGAACACCTGTTGATGAGAGAAGGGAAGCCATGTTGTCGAGACAGCAGTGAGAATAACACCATTTGGCTGGCCAGGTTCAGTATTTTTCCTGGTTGTCACCCTGATTGTGTCATCGGATGATTCAGAAAGAGCTGTCCAAGATTGCATTCCGGAGGCGTGTACGCTGGCGCAGAACGTTCTCATCATTCTCTGTGACAGCTTCATCATATTCTTTCTTGCCTCTGGGGTGGGGATCACTGAAGGGATACACAAGTCCATTTAGATGAGAGAATCACAGCTTATAGAGTATATATATATATATATAAAGACAAAGAAGCCAGAATCTATGCCAAGCATTATTAGACACTGTACCTCCAAGGTCGGCAATATTTCTGGCCAGAAGGCTTGCAAGCCGCTCACATTGCCTTTGCAGGGTTGAAACCCAGCGTGTTGCTCCAAACGCCACGCCGGTGCTGACAAATTGATCAAATATCTGATGCACTGGTTTATCCTCCACCTCTGCATGTTCTACCCACATCACCTGCCCAAACAAGACAGATGAATCTATCCATCCTAAATTTTATTATGACTTGATATCCAAAAACAAATGTCATTAAATGCACAGTTCTAATGCTGCTATTCCCCAAGTCATATGCTTCTGTAATGTTCTCTAAAATTCTAGTGCATAATTTGTTTTATATAAATACAAAAAAAGTGCCTTGGAACGTTTGCATCCCGATGCTTGATTAATAACATCAGTTCATACAATATTTCATTCCAGTAGGAACGTATGCAGAGCCTCCAGTTACCAGTTCTTTCGAGTCATGATCCATGAACATGGCGGGCATGCGGTGGGCATCAGTACAAGCGCCAATCTTATCTTCTATAAGTCAGGCCCTAATGAAAGATGATAACCTTTTTGCTACTAAATTCTGTATTCCCATCCATACATGTCGAAGTTAACATTTTGTGCTTATCATATAATGGAACAAAGACAATTATAATTGATCGTGTACCGATCAATACGAAACCTGTAACTTAATCGAAACTAGTTTCAGTAATTTCACATCATTAATGAAAGGGATTAGAACTGAGCTTTTAATTGAAAACATCAACTTAGCAGAAAGAAAACGTAATTCGTTTTGTACCTTGGAATACCCATTGGGCATATCTTGGATGACACAACCAGAGGTCCTCCTTCTATACCAGGGGAGGGACGTTTGAAGGCCATCGACGCAGCCATCGACAGGGAAATCAACAATTATCCAAGTACCTTCTTCTGAATTGTGTTGGAGGTACCGGAAGAAATGAGCCTCACGCGCAGGCACCAGAGGAGACAGAAATTGCAGCTCTGCGTGCAACTGTCAATAGCTCCAACATGAGAACACTTGTATCGAACAGGGCGGAAACAACGGTGCAGCAGATGCTAGATTACCAGATGCAAGCAACCATTGCCATGACCAGCGACTCCTGGACTCAACACCTGAACTGTTGTAGCCTTGGAGACGACGGAAGGAAACAGCCCCATCCATTTGTCCTGGACAGCACGATTAGAAAGAGAAATGACCAACAAGCAGCTCACAAAATGGACTAATGAACACATACAAATCTTATAACGATTAACTCACGGCATCCAGGAAGGCATCGACCAACGTAATGCTGTTCATAATGACCATGGCGCTGTCCCTGGAAGCCTCGGTCCTAATCTCTCCATGCTGCTGTTTCAAGTCCATCGGCCAGGAGAAGTTTTTTGCATGCTCTTCCAAATCCAAGACCTCCGTGGTGCGACCATCTCTTCTAATCCATAGTGGCCCGTTCGTACGGCACATCCTGACTAAGTGATCCGCCGCCGTGATTGCTAGGTCCAGAACCAACGGTTTCTCTTGGTCCAGGATGAGCATGCCAGAGAAGGGAGAGGCTTGGTCGGAGATCTGTGGAACGGGGATTATGTCATTGCAACTCACCACTGGCGGCTCCTTGAAGTGCCTCGAGTAGATGCCCATGTCGAGATCCAGCGAGGGGAGCAGTATAGGCGGTGCGGGACCTAACGGCTGCTGTTGCCGGCCACTATAGCGGGATGCGATGCAGGATAGACGTTCGAGCTGTACATAAAAAGGCAGCTGAACTGACTGTGTGTCCTCCATAAAGAAGCTGATTCAAAAAGGATGAGATACACACAATCTAGCATGTAGCACAAGAAAAACTTTTTTTGACTTAGAACTCCAGTTTTTGCGTTGTCTCATGCATGTGATGTTGTTCCGGGAAGAGGTTAATGATGTTGATTTGCTGGAACTAG